TTTGATAATTCACAATAAAAATCAGATTGAAATTCAGATAGAAAATATGATTAAGCTGATTTTTTTAGGTAGAAAAATATTAATTTCATCAGTTGGTTAGAAATCTTTGTGTGATTAAATGTCAGTAGCCTTTATTAATGCTCATACTATTTTATTTTACACTTTCTAATTGAGACCATAAAGACATTCATTTGTTCTTTTAGCTCCTATGTATAGGACACTGTGCTGGACATGGATATTAAAGTGGGATTTCTATATAAAATCTGCTTAGATAAAAACATACATTTGGGGCTGGGCGTGGTGGCTCGTGCCTGTAATCCTAGCACACTGGGAGGCTGAGGCAGGAGAATCGCTCAAGGTCAGGAGTTCAAGACCAGCCTGAGCAAGAGTGAGACCCCGTCTCCACTAAAAAATACAAATAAATTTGCTAGACAACTAAAAATATATAGAAAAAATTAGCTGGGCATGGTGGTGCGTGACTGTAGTCCCAGCTACTTGGTAGGCTGAGGCAGAAGGATTGCTTGAGCGCAGGAATTTGAAGTTGCTATGAGCTAGACTGATACCATGACACTCTAGCCCGGGCAACAGAGCAAGACTCTGTCTCAAAAAAACAGAAACAAAAACATACATTTGGGCCAGGGAAGAGGGTGAGGCTCTCAATACACTACTACTGATAAAATAATAAATGCTACAGAGGCTTTCAAAACACTATTATAGATAAAATAGTAAATGCTACAGAAATGGTATAGTCATTAAGGTGCAACATGAGTTAAGGGAAAGGAAAAATCAGTAGGGGTTCATGTGCCAAAGCTTTTTCAGAGGGTCCGGAATCTGACCTGGGATTTTAAAGACTTTGGGTTGGTGGTTCATAGCAGTGAAAGTAAGGGCGAGGCACGAAGAAAGGCATAGAGATAGAATGCTGTACAGTGTGATATAGTGATGTTGCAGGAAGATTAATTTGTGGATGGTATGTAAGAATGATTGAAGAAGAGAGAGGATAGAGAAATAGACCAATTAGGAGGCTGTGTTAAAGGTGGTATAGGCATGAGAAATAAAGGCCTGCCACCCATGTGGAGGCAGGAGATATAGATAATGGGATGTATGAGAGAGACCTAGTAGAATCAACAAAACTTTATGACTGATTGCATATGGTGGACAGGGCAAATTCATTCTTTTTGTTGCGCAGGCCAAAAAACATATTTATTTATTCCTCTTGAGTCCCTCTTACATCGAATCCATCAGCAAATCTTTTTTGGATTTCAAAATATATCCATAACTCTACCACTTCTTACCACTTTCACCATTACCATATTGTCCAAGCTACTGTCACTTCTTGCCTAGATTATTACAGTAGCCTGTTAGTCTCCCTGCTTCTACCTTTGTCCCTGACAGTTTTTAGGACAAAGTTATTCTTTTAAAACACAAATCAATTTGTCAGTTCTCTGCTCAGAGCTGTTGGCTTCTCATCTAACTTAGTAACAATTCAGAGTCCTAATCCATCAGGACCTCAGTGATCTGGTTCTTCATCATGTCTCTGACCTTATCTCCTACCTCTCACTCCCTACTTTTCAGCAACCCTGGCCTCCTTACTGTCTCTCAGATAGACCAGGGCTTTGCATTGCACTTGTTCTCTGAGCTCTTCCCCAAGATATCTGTGTGGCTTGCTTCCTCACCTCTCTCAGGTCTTTGTTCAAATGACCACTCATCAAAGATCCCCTCCGTGACTACTTTAGAAAATAGTGCCCCTACTTTTTGCTGGCTAGTTGCTTCATTTGTCCATAACACTTATTAGCTCTCAATGTATGTTTATTTGGCATCTGTCTTCTCTTACTGGACTTGCTCACTTTTGTTCACTACTAAATCCTAGTACCTAGAACATACAATGAAGATTTATTAAATGACTGTTGCATGAATAAATGCAAGATAATGTTAAAGTTATGCCTTTAGTGACTGGAAAAAGTCAGGGGATGCGATGGGGCAAGGAGTAAGGGATCCTTCCTATCTTAGATATATTGAGTTTGAGGAGACAGTGGCATATATTAGTATTAATATCTAGCAGGTAGTTGGAAATGTGGAACTAGAATTGGGGTATTGAGGTTAGGAGTGTTGACTTGAAGTCAGATGGGGGTTCAAAATTCAGCTCTGCTGTCTACATACCCTTGGACCAGTTACCCAGTCTCTCCAGACCTCAGTTTCTGTTAGCAGTAATACCATCTTAAAAGGTTGGTAAGAGGATTAAGTGAAACTAGGTAAGTCTGACAAAGGGGAGACTATTGTTCTTATTTGGAAGTCTCTTTCAGAGATACAACTGAAACCATAGGAATAGGTAAGCTTTTTGGGGCAAGAATATAGAAGAGAAACTTCCACAGTTGTACTTAGGGGTGAGAAAATGAGGAGGAGCCAACAAAGATACTGGGAACAGTAAGAAAGATGGAAAGGGTCTCTTAGTAAGGTATCTTTTGATTGTAAGAAGCAGAAATCTACCAAAGCCAGTTTAAATATAGGGACGTTTGTTATATAGAGACTCCTATGTAAGAGAAATAGAGCCAGACCTCACAAGGGATGGGGACTTTGAAACATCAGAACAAAGTCTCTTGTGTTCTTTCCCGTGCCCTCTGGTGTTACATGAATGCTGCATGGTTGCCTTCATTCTTTTTTCTCCCTGTAGACTATCCCTAGTGTTCACCAGTGCATGTGCCCCCAATATGAATACCCTACACCGAGTGGTGAGCTGAAGTTAGGTTATACAGCTCATGAAACCTGATTGTTAGCATCTCTTCCCAGCTCTGTGTTCTGTGACACTGTGTTGCTAGCTTGAAATCAGCCATGGTGGGAGTATTCATTACCAGGGGTAGGGAACCTGTGGCCTTAAGGCCACAGTTCTGTAAAGTTTGGATTCAGTCAGAAGGCTGCACTTAAGGACTTAGAGGGCCACAGGTTCCCCCTCACTGATGTATGCCATGGAAGTTGGCAAATGCTACAAAGCAGTCCCCTGCCAAGACATGCCTGTAGTCCCAGCTACTTGGTAGGCTGAGGCAGAAGGATTGCTTGAGCGCAGGAGTTTGAAGTTGCTATGAGCTAGACTGATGCCACGACACTCTAGCCCGGGCAACAGAGCAAGACCCTGTCTCAAAAAAACAGAAACAAAAACATACATTTGGGCCAGGGAAGGGGGTGAGGCTCTCAATACACTACTACTGATAAAATAATAAATGCTACAGAGGCTTTCAAAACACTACTATTGATAAAATAGTAAATGCTACAGAAATGGTATAGTCATTAAGTCATTAGTCATTAAGGTATGTGCTAAGGGAAAGGAAAAATCAGTAGGGGTTCATGTGCCAAAGCTTTCTCAGAGGGTCCAGAATCTGACCTGGGATTTTAAAGACGTTGGATTGGTGGTTCATAGCAGTGAAAGTAAGGGCATGGCACGAAGAAAGGCATAGAGATAGAATGCTGTAAGGTGTGATATAGTGATGTTGCAGGAAGATTAATTTGGGGATGATATGTAAGAATGATTGAAGAAGAGAGAGGATGGAGAAATAGATCAATTAGCAGGCTGTGTTAAAGGTGGTATAGGCATGAGAAATAAAGGCCTGCCACCCATGTGGAGGCAGCAGATATAGATAATGGGATGTATGAGAGAGACCTAGTAGAATCAACAAAACTTTATGACTGATTGCATATGGTGGACAGGGCAAATTCATTCTTTTTGTTGCGCAGGTCAAAAAACGTATTTATTTATTCCTCTTGAGTCCCTCCTATATCGAATCCATCAGCAAATCTTATTTAGATTTCAAAATATATCCATAACTCTACAACTTCTTACCACTTTCACCATTACCATATTGTCCAAGCTACTGTCACTTCTTGCCTACATTATTACAGTAGCCTGTTAGTCTCCCTGCTTCTACCTTTGTCCCTGACAGTTTTCAGGACAAAGTAATTCTTTTAAAACACAAATCAATTTGTAGGTTCTCTGCTCAGCACTGTTGGCTTCTCATCTAACTTAGTAACAATTCAGAGTCCTAATCCATCAGGCCCTCAGTGATCTGGTTCTTCATCATGTCTCTGACTTTATCTCCTTCCTTTCACTCCCTACTTTTCAGCAACCCTGGCCTCCTTACTGTCTCTCAGATAGGCCAGGGCTTTGCATTGCACTTGCTCTCTGAGCTCTTCCCCAGGATATCTGTGTGGCTTGCTTCCTCACCTCTCTCAGGTCTTTGCTCAAATGACCACTCATCAAAGATCCCCTCCGTGACTACTTTATAAAATAGTGCCCCTACTTTTTGCTGGCTAGTTGCTTCATTTGTTTCCATAACACTTATTAGCTCTCAATGTATTTTTATTTGGCATCTGTCTTCTGTTACTGGACTTGCTCACTTTTGTTCACTACTAAATCCTGGTACCTAGAACATACAATGAAGATTTATTAAATGACTGTTGCATGAATAAATGCAAGATAACGTTAAAGTTATGCCTTTAGTGACGGGAAAAAGTCAGGGGATGTGGTGGGGCAAGGAGCAAGGGATCCTTCCTATCTTAGCTATATTGAGTTTGAGGAGACAGTGGCATATATTAGTATTAATATTTAGTAGGTAGTTGGAAATGTGGAACTAGAATTGGGGTGTTGAGGTTAGGAGCGTTGACTTGAAGTCAGATGGGGGTTCAAAATTCAGCTCTGC